GAGAGTGGAAATAGAGCTGTAGAAATAATGTTAGGAAACTATAATTATAAACCTAGTACGAAAAATAAACCAAAACCTCAAAATAATGCAAAAATAAATATGGCACAAACAATAAATGACATAGAACGTGAATTAGAAAGTCAATCTGAAGAATTGAAAATAGAATTTCAAAAATTATTACAAAATGAAGAAATAGAAGAAAGACAAGAATAGAAAAAAAATAAACACATAATACATCTCAAATAATAATTTTGAAGAGGATTTGTAAATATGCAAAATTCATAAATAGTAATTCATGATTAACAACCATATGAAATACCTCAAAATTTTGTAGCACCAAATTTAGATGATCCGTTCTATAATAATAGAAATGTAATATTAGGAATAGATTTTATTGAACAATATTATCCTTTACATATGTTTGAAAAAGCAATAATATTAACAACACCTTGTAAACACCAAGCATGGGGAGTAAGAGTAACTAAACCTTATAGTAGAAGAGATAAAAATTTTAAAAGAAACAAAAGAGTATGAAGTACAATTTCTACCAATAAAAAATCTTGCATGATAATGAAGTTATAAATTCAATAAAAATGTTAAATACTGCAAAAGAAATTAAAACAATTGAACAAAGATTATTAAAAATTATAGTAATAATCCTTTAGTTCATTGGGAAAAATCTAAACCTTTAGTAAAAATAGAATTAAGAGATTATAGTAAAGAAATAAATTATAAACTATACCCATGAACAGAAAATGATAAAAAAGAATTTATTATGCATATTAATGAAATGAAGCAATATGATTTAATAAGAAAAAATAGATCTGAATATTCATCACCTGATATGATTGTAGTAAAACATAGTGAAGAAAAAAGAGAAAAAATCAAGATTAGTTATAAATTATAAAAAATTAAATGAATTAGCAATAAGAAATAGATACCCAATTCCAAAAATAGATTTATTATTTAACTTAATAAGAGGAAAAAATATATTTAGCAAATTTGATTGCAAATCAGGATTTTTTCAAATAAAATTGGAAGAAGAAAGTAAGAAATATACTGCTTTTAGTGCATCAAAAGAATTGTATGAATGGAATGTATTACCTATGGGATTTCATAATAGTCCTAGTATATTTCAAGAATATGTAACAAAATTACTATTATCAATAAAAGATTTTGCTGTCATATATATAGATGATATTTTAATATTCTCAAAAGATAAAGAAGAACATGAAAAACATTTAGAACAATTTATAGATTTTGTAGAAGAAAAAGGATTAAATATATCACCTAAAAAAGCTAAATTAAGAAAAAAAATAGAATTTTTAGGACAGTACATAACTAATAATGGAATAGAATTACAAGAACATATTAATAAGAAAATATTAGAATTTGGAGAAATTAAAAATAAAAAGAACTTCAATCATTTTTAGACTAGTAAATCAAGCTATAAATTATATTCCAAACTTATCAAAATTAACTGTAAAAGTAAGTAAATTAGCTGGAGAAAAGACAATATGGATATGGGACAAAGAAAGAAAAAAAAATAGTTATGTCAAAATTTACCTAAATTAACTATTCCAGTAAATAATAATGTAAAATGGATAATATATACAGATGCTAGTGAAAATTATTGGGGAGCAGCTTTATCTCATGTCAAAAGAAGAAGTAATAACTAGATATGCAAGTGAAAAATTTAATGATTCTCAAACTAAATATCATTCAAATAATTATTCTTTCTGTTTCTACTCCTGTTTGTCTTATATTTTTATGCATATCTTTTTTCTTATTTTTTCTTCATTTATAATTTCTTCATCTTCAACTATTCTCATCATATTTATTTGTGACCATTCATCTTCTAATTTATTATAAGGGTTTATTCCTAAATATTTATTATTCTATAAATATTATGACTTATCATACTTTATTCAGTTCTTAGTCTTTTTGTGTCATATTTTATATAATCTAATTTTTCATTACATTTTTCTTTATTTTATATATTTTTTGTTCTAAAGGTTTTGCATATTCTTTAATTCTTTTTATTTTTTCTCTAGGATTTTTTTTTCTAACATTATTTGTACTTCTTCTTGTAACATATTTATTATCTCTTTTTCATTAAAAAGGTGTTCTAAATCTTTTATATTTTCATTTATATAACAATCTAATTGTTTCATTAAAAACATATTTGTTCAATTAGCCTGATTACTTGTACTATCTCCTTCACCTTCTAATAAGAAGGGTACTAAAATACATGATAAATTTTTATTGGTATGTAAGAACCTTCTGGAATTTTATTTTGTTCTACTTCATACATTTTTGGTTCAATTATTTTTATGATATTCATTTAAATAGATTCCAATACTTCTATTAAAGTAAAACAAATATTAAGAAAGATTAAAAATCTTCTTTGATTTCTTTCTTCTACTGGGATTATATAATAAATTCTTGTTTCTCTTCCTACACATTCATTTATTGTTAGTATCATTCCTATTCTTGTTTCTATGTCTTCTATATTTTGTCTCATTAACCAACTTAAAAATACTGTAATCATTATTTCTTGTTATTCTTCTTTCCTATTATTATTAATATGAAACCAATTATTATACAAACTAATATCAAAATAACACCAATAATAGTAATTATTCACCTAATCGCAATACTATCAGCCAAACTATTCAGCAAAATATTCAAACTGTTCAAAATAACAGATAAAGAAAGCAAGTAAACAGATAAGAAAAGCAAGAAAGTAGGTAACTGAGTTAAACAATAATAAACTTTAGGGATTAAGAAGTTCATATTTATTTGATAAATATTTATATATATATTTATATGAAATACAAAATTTAAAATATAATTATATATATGTATTTATATATTCAATATATATATCCATATATGTGTGTATATATATATTAGATATATATGATATATGTATATATGTGTGTTCATATATATATAATATAATATGTATATGTGATATATATTATATTATATTATATTATCTTATGTTAGTTTTAAATTTAATTTTATATGATAGATTAAATTTAATAACTAACATGATAAGAGATAATATCATGTAGTTTTATAATTTGAATTTATAAGATAAATTCAAATTAGATATTTATGATATAAATTTAATTAAATTTTTGTGAGCTTTTAAGTGGAAGACAAAAACCCTTATCTATATACTATATATAAATGGGGACGTCCTGATAAAGGTAGAGAGTTAGAAAAGTTTTGATGGCAAAAACACTCTGAGAGCCATGAAACACTTTATAGAAAAGAAAATTAACATTCAAAGAAGAACGGACGTTAAGAGCGCTAACACGTTGTTCGAGTTAGACAACTATTTGTGTGGATACCGATAGAGGGAACAGATCTACATTGTCAGCTCCTAAAATCCAAACTTGCACTAACTTCAAAGAATTAAAAAGGTAAATCTTCTATCCACCTTGACTTAAACGAGTTCGTTTGGTCCATATCATGATAGGGACTATAAATTTTTAAGCTTCCACTGCGCCTCCCTATCCAACATAATGTATGTGTGAAATTTGGCCGTGGATATGAATGAAATTGAGAAAGAATAGAATTATGCCCAAAGTACGTGAAATAGCCTATTAAGCGGCCAAATATGTCTCTATGTGTAATATTGTACATATAATTGCTCACTTGATTGTACACTATTCATTTGGATATGGTTAAGGCCCTAAAAGTGGCCAATGACTTATGGTTTTAAATAGTAATGCTCAAGTGGTGAATTTTGACATAAAAATGATCAAAATTCACTTGGGTGTTCATATTTTAAATAGAGTATTGGATTTGAATGAAACTACCGTTATTGGTTAGATTATGGAATAAGCTTTGTGTGGGCACTTGAATCACTCTAATTGGACATTAGATGTAAAAATAGTGCACGTTTGAAATTTACATCAATTTTACAATTTGATAGCAAAATCTAGTGTGTGCACAGCAGTACATGTGTCAATGTGTGTCAACATGCCATGGTGCATGGTATAGAGCGTGATATTGATGTCTTTGTGCCACATACCATAGCTTATGTGGCATGAACCGTGACACATGGCCTTTGTTTTAGCTTGATTTTATTGATTTGAATATTTTTTTCTTATTGACTATGATGTGCTTATGCATAATGCTTCAATTGTGTAATGTTTTACAATTCGAGTATTTCAAGAAATGGTTTTACAAATGTTTTATGTTGGGATCCCAATCTTTAAAAAAATGGTTTTAGTTGGTTGAGTAGATTAAGTAGAAGGTTGAATGGTAATGTCAATAAGGGCATTACATTTAGTTGGTATCAGTTTCTCGATTTTTGAGATTTGGTCACTATGATTGTTTGTTGCATCCATCTTAGAACTTGAAAACTTATATATCTTGTTCATTACACCATTCTTTCCCTTTTGCTTAATTTTCTTTTATCTTCATCCTTAGGAGGGGAGAAAATGAGAAGAGTGCTCGAACTTCAAGGAGTACTCAAGTATCACGACGACTGGTTGAGGATGAGCCTGTGCCAGAGGTTCAACCGAATGAGCCTCAATAAGTCGATAAAAGAGATGGCTTGTTGGAAGAATTAAGAGACATGATGATTAACATTAG